GGGGTAATAAAAATAGAAGATAGTGGATTAATTTATTTCTAATAGGACCACTTCTACATAACATGAATAATCTTGTAAGCAAATACTATCGATATGTCGACATAGGCAAAGAAATACACGCATATTGTCATGTTCTATCACATTATGTAAATTATCATTGGGAAGGCTTTACATTCCTTAACGACGAATGAAGCATCAGAATGCGATGCTATGATGTCTTCTTCACCTTCACTCCCCTCACCCCTCACTCCCCCACCACCTTCACCACTTTCACTCCCTTCACTCCCCCACCACCTTCACCTCCCTTTACCTCTTTCACTCCCTTCGCTCTCCCGCCTTCACCTCCCGCCTTCACCTCGCCACTCCTTAATGACTTAATATCACCGAACCGAACGAGTCACCGTCTATCATCTCATCTGACTTGATAATACTTCTATCAACGCGAATCATATATCGGCATATCGATTCAATCGATTCAATACGACCCCCCCACGCACCATTCTGGTCGATTTGAAGACATTATGAAGATTGCTTGGGACATTATATAATCTTGGTAGCAGGGAACGACTATTATTCCGAAAGGAATTTGGCAGGAGATCACGTTAAGCACAATATACGTATACATAATATATATATACAAGCTATTCGATTAAGACAATAGATGAGATTAATAATACCACATGGAATAACAGCTCTACTATAGAATAAAGTCCTGACAAAGACCTTGCATTGCTAATTATAATTATGAATAACCATATGACATACTAATCAGGTTCCAATGTCTATCTCTTTTGATGTGTCTCTTTTTTGATCCCACAAACCTATATCTTTTCCATCAATCTTCATCCATGTCGAACTGAATATTGATTATGATTGTTTCAAGAGCTGACAAGATAGAAGATGGAAGGATGAAATGGGAACACAACACGACTTTTACTAGAAGAAGGAATTATTCACAAGTATCGTTCATTCAGTCACAAATATCATTCATTTAATATCATACGTTTATTCACAATGTCAATTCATTTATTTACATAGTCAATAGAAAAAGAAGAAAAAAAACAAGAATAAGAAAATGTTTGAGTTTAGAAAATGTTTGAGTTTAGAAAATGTTTGAGTTTTAGAAAATAGTGATTTTATGGCATCCAGAAATTGCCGGTTTCGTATAAAGCCAGAGGGTGTGTTTCTCCGTGTTCGTGTAGGAGCGGCAATTTCGGTTGTGAGAGCCTCATCCGTCTGTTGTCGAATAATCGGACAAATAATTGGAGGCTCCCGTATAATGGTAAAGGTTTGGGCATCTTGTGGCGATGCCCACCTAGCCAGCCGGCGTTTGGCTGGCTCGAGATCTAGTCAACCGTCGGTTTTTGGGACCTCTCCGCGAGTATCCCGCGGTGGACTCGAGACCGTTAGTGGTAAAGGTTTGAGCATCTTGCGATGCCCAAACGGCCAGCCGGGCCATGGCTGGCTCGAGATCTGTTAATGGCTCGAGGCCGTTGTTTGAGCGTCTTGTGAGAGGCCGAGACCTAGTTGCATTTGTAACAACTGATGTGTTTGTTGCGACAGGTTGGTATTTATAAGTAGAATATTTTTAGTAGGTCGGCACATTTTATGAGTGAGTTTTTTTGTTTCTTTTGCCATACTGCAATATTGAGTCGAAACTCGATAACGAAACCTCTTATGAACGTTTTATTGTGGTACGAACGTGATTCTGTAGAACGTTCATAAACAATATTAATATGCAGGAACAATCGAAATTCCAAGACCATCCAACCACATTATTATTAAAGTGATACTTGCTGATATCAGAGTTACACGAATCGCCTAATGTTAAAACGATTGAAAAGTTCGCAATCATGACTGGTATAACCTTATCATCGTCATTTGATGCCGCATATACTAATGGCCACTTTGGTCTGATGCTACTGCGAAAGGCATGCAAGATTCTTTGATAATCACACGCAGAAATCATAGTGGTAAGTACTAACACGTGATGCATTTTGGGGTTATTCGCTCTCTTTGTTGACGCTTTCCAATTACCTAATCGAGATATTTAGCAAGTGGTTCATATTCCCCAATGAGAATACGCCACATCGAAAGCATATGAACATTACGAATTAAGATCGTCCCGACGCGGAATAAAAAAATCACTCCCACCCTTTCTCTTCAAATTTCAACAAGTCGAAGGAAAAGTCGTTCGAAGTATTGTCTTCAACAGACAGTTTATATGGAAACGCAGTTGCATATGAACGTATGAATACAACAACAACAACAACAACAACAAGTATTGTATTTAATCCCACGACGACTGTAACGATCCGAACTCTCCTCGACAATTCCGCTCTATCGATAAATGGCCGATGCACATACTACCCTTCGCCACAGAAATTCATGCGTCAGTACGCATTCCAGCAACTCGGATCTTGGCAATGGAGATGCACTTGATGCGAATAAAGAGAGTCAACAGGGTGTGATTGGGAAGACCTTTGAAGGAGGCGGTAATACTTTATTCATCGTCAGTTGTACAAGATATGCTTACGTCATCGAAAGGATTAATCGTTAGTTTTAGTAATAGTAGAAAAAATTCCCCATTTGATTAACTATTACTATCGTATAACACGATTGTGTGGATTGCCCACTGATCGATCTATTTGAGCAGCTAATCTCATGACTTTCGCAGAACTAATAATGTCGTTGTCTTCTCCCTCTTTCCATGCCCATAGTCTTCATAGTTCCCCAAACCAAAGACATGCTAACTTCGGTGTTTGATCCATCAACGCGCAAGTCTCTATTCGATATCCTCACCCTATCTGTGATGGCTCTCCAGATCATCCTCTTCTTGTTTCTTCCGACATCAATATCACGATGGTTATTTCTCGATCTATTTATATTCTTCCGGTTAGCGTATAACTGCGGACTAGGATTGTTACTGAAAATGCAGAGCGACAAAAAAGTTTTGGTTAATTGGGCAAAAAAAAAAAAATTATTCGAAAAGAAGGGCGGCAAGCTGCCTGAATTTTTTAAGAGGGAGTTGAGCGCTAAGATGGGTGATGACTATGACTTTGAGGTAAGTTGGCTTGGGTTATATTTGGAGAAAGGGGAGGGCGAATTTATAAGGGACGAACCTTTTGGGATATTTATAATACGTTAGATTTCATGTTAATGCTATGTGGCTTTCTGTAATCGATTGTCATGTGAACCAACACCCCTTTCATTCAATTTCAATATATGGTTTTCCTTTTTTCTTCGACTTTTCGTTCCCATCATTATCTTTACACGGTATTTTCGTTATCTTTTCTTCCCGATTTTCACCATATCTATGGCCATGTTCCTCTTTATCTTTTTCGCTATCTTCTCAACAGTTTCATCCGTTACTCTCCATCTTCTCCTTCCCAGTTTTATCCATTTTTTCACTCCCATCTTTCTCTTCATGTTTATCACCATTTTATTCGCCATCTTCCTCTTCACCATGTTCATGGTCGTATTCTTCACAATCTTCCTCTTTATGTTTGTAGTCATCTTTCTCTTCATGTTTTTTACCATATCTCTCTCCATCTTTCTCCTTATCTTTACATCTATTCCTTCTCTCTTCACATTTTCACTATTTCCTCCGCCATTTGCCTTTTCACCATTTCCTTTGCCATTTCTCTTCATGTTTTTATCTGCCTTTTCACGTCTTCACTATTTCCATCTCCAATATTCTTTTCACGTTTTACACGATGTTCATTCTTCACATTTTCTTTTCAATTTTCCCTTTATTTTACGTTTTGCATATCATATTCGTGGTCATCTTCCTCTTCACTTTTATTCATCGTATCTTTCACAATTTCTCTCTTCATCTTTCCATCATGTCTTCCTCTTTACGCGTTTTACTATTTCCATCGCCAACATTCTTTTCACGTTTTTGCACCATGTTCATAGCCATCTTTCTTTTCGTATTATCACCAAATTCTTCCCCATATTACTCTTCGTGCTTATCACCACTTTGTATGCTTGTATGATGTTCATGCCCATCTTCCTTTTATCTTTCCGCCATTTCCTCGCTGGCTATTTCTTTCATCTATTTTCCTTTCGCAGAGTGTTTTGTATGACGTTTATAGCCACATTCCCCTTCATCATCCCACTATTTTTTTTTTCGCCATCTAATCATCATATCTTCGCATCTTCCTCTTTATCTTTCTATTATTTCCTTCTCCATTTTTTCGTTATCTCTCATTCAACATATTCATGGCCATCTTCCTCTTCACGGTTTTCAACATTTCCCACGCCTCACGTTTTTATCTATCTTCACGATTCTCATTATTTTTTCCTTAATCTTTTGCCTCTGTCATCTTCTCTTATGTCTTGCGCCATGTTAATGACAATCTTCTTCCTCATCATTTTTCTACCATTTTCTCTGCCACATTTGTCTTCATCTCTTATTATATCTCTTTGTCATCTTCTCTTCTCCATGTCTGTTTCACTTTATCTTTCTCTTTGCCTTTATCACCATTTCTTCTGTCTTCCTCTTCACGTTTTCATAAATTTCTCCTCGCCGTCTCCTTCATCTTTTATTCACTTTTTTCACTATATCCGTGGCCACCTTTTTCACCTTTTCACCATTTCTTTCACAATCTTTCTTTACATATTGCATCATCATGTTCATAATCATCTTCCTTTTCGCGATTTTTTTCAACATCTTGTCTTCATCTATTTCCTCCGCATCTGCCTCACAATTCTCTGCTCATGGGCGTCTTTCTCTATCATCTTTATACATTTTCTTCTCTTTATCATATCTGTCACTTTTCATCATTTCTACCTTTACTTGTCATGTTGCTCTTCACGGTATGCACCATATTCGTGGCCGTCTTCCTTTCGCTTCTTTACTATATCTACTTTCACAATTTCTTTTCCATCTCCCTTCATGTTTTCTTTCACGTTTCCTTCTTTCACGTTTTTTTTCCGTCATTTTTCTCTTCATCTTTCTATCATTTTTTCGCCATCTTGCGTATTCATGACCATATTACTCTTCATATGTTTTACCGTTTCATCATCCACCTTCATCATCTCTTTCGCCATTTTCTCTCCTCCATTTTCTCCGCCATTTTCTCTCCGCACCGTTGCCTCCGCCATTTTTCTCTTCATGTTTATCACCATTTCTTCATCCATCTTTCTCTTTATCTTTTCACCATATTTATGGCCATCTTCTCTACATGTTTTTATCATTTTCTCTTCATCTTTTCGCCTTCTCCTTTGCCATCTTCCTCTTCATGTTTTGCGTTCATGTTCATGATTATTTTCTCTTCATCTACCATTCTCCGCCATATCATTTCCTTCATTACATTATGCAACATTCTTTTATCTTCTTTTTCATGTTGTATGCCACGTTCATACTATTTTCTTCATCGACCATATATTTTTCTTCCTTCACCTCACGTCTTGCACTGTATTTATGGCCATCTTTCTCTTCATCTTTTCCCCTCCCCATTTCTACCTCCTTCCTCCACTTTTTTCTTCATTTGCTGTATCATTATTTCTTCTTCACGTTTATAACCGTTTTCTTCTCCATCTTTCTCTTCATCATCTTTCTCTTCATCATCTTTCTCTTCATCTTTTTCACTATATGATGGCCATCTTCCTACTCCGCTATTTTTATCTTTACGTTGTTATCACTTTCTCCTCTATCTTTCTCCTCATCTTTTCACCCTTTCTTTCGTCATCGTCCTCTTCACGTTCTGCGCCATTTCATGACCATCGTCTTCCTCATCCTCTTCATGTATTTATGGGCATCTTTCTCTTCCATCTTTACGTTATATTTACCCTCATCTTCTTTTTCGTTTTCACCATTTCCTCCGTCGTCCTCCGCTTCATGTATATCATCATTTACTTGGTCACTTTTCTCTTCCATTTTTTCGCCATCTTCCTCTTTACCTTTTCACTATTTCCCTCTTCATATTTCTTTCATCATTTTCTCTGCAATCTTACTCCTCGTCTTTCTTTTCATTTTTCCACCATTTATCCGCTCCATATTTTGCCGTATTCATGGGCATCATCTTTTTTATCTCTGTTCGTGGTTTTTACATTATATACTTCGTCTGTCTCTTCGCTTTTCCACTACATCTTTCTCTTCATTTTTTTATCATTGTGTTCTTCACGTGTTCATGGCCATCTTCATTTATATTTTCCCTCCATTTCATCCGCTACCTTCTCTTATGCAACTTTGTCACATTTCCTTCCTCTTTCTCTTTCCTTTCTCTTCTCATCTTCCTTTCATCTTTGTCACCATTATCTTTGCCATTTTTCTCTTCACGTTTTGCACCATGTTTCATTGCTATTTTACTCTTACCGTTCCTTCTCCATCTTCCTCTCCATCTTTTCCCGCTATCTTACTCTTCACGTTTATGACCGTTCTTTTTCTTCATATATTTGCCACATCTTTCTCGCCAATTTTTTCACCATCTTATTCTTCACGTTTATGACCATTTTCTCCTTCACTAACTCCTTCGCCATCTTTGTCTTCACGTTTGTCATCAATTTCCGCTCTTTCCGTTCACGTTTTTCACCATATTCTTTCCAAATTCTTCTTCTAACATTTTGCACATATTTATGGCCATCTTTCTCTCCATCTTTCTCGCTATTTCCTTTCCCTTTTCCATTTTTCATTTTTGTCATCTTACTCTTCATTTTTTTCCCACCATTTCCTCCTCTATATTCATCCTCACATTTTGTATTATGTTCATGGCTACTTTCGCATCTCCTTCTCCACCATACTCCTCAATTTTTTCATTATTTCCTTCACCATCTTCCTTTTTATCTTTTTCACTTTGTCTTCTCTTCACGTTTTTCACCATATCTTTCCCTGTTTCCTTCGCCAACATTCTTTTACCTTTTACGCTATGTTTGTGGCCATCTTCCTCTTCACTATTTTCATCATCTCCCTTATCACATTTATGCTCATTTCCTGCACCATCTTTGTCTTCACGTTTTGCACCATGCCCATGGTCATCTTACCCTTATCATTCCTCACCTACCTTCTCTTCACGTTTTTCACCATTATTTTTTTTCATCTTCATCATGTTTTGCATCATGCTTATGGCCATATTACTCTTCATCTTCACCATTTCCCCAAAATATTCTTTTCACGTTTTTCACTATTTCCTCCACCTTCACGGTTTCATATCCTTTCCCGTCTTCATCTTTTTCACAATCTTTCTCTTCACATTTATCCCTATTTTCTTCGCACATATTTGTGCCATTTACTTTCATACTATTTCGCGTCATTTTCTCTATATTTTTCGTCATCCCCTCTTTGTTTCCTCGCTTCTTTGGCCAATATTTTCCCATATACTAAACTAATATTTTTTTTACTCTCTTACTTTCACAGTCTGCCCCTGTCGAATTCAACACTTGGCTTCTATTCCGCGAGCTCGTAGACTTAATCCTCCTCAACGACTTTACATCCTATATCTGCTTTGCTCTAGCTAATTTCAACATTCCAGAACATTCCAACTTCATTGTTCATGTGCTACGATGGGCGGGAGGCTTATTTCTTTTTTGGTTTAACGTCTGGGTCAAGAACGATGCTCATCGAGTTGTTAAGGATTTTGCATGGTGTGAGTAATGTGGAACGGGGAATAGGAGAACGACAGTGATGAAATTAAGATAACATTTAGAATCTAAGTTATTTGGATGATTGTATTGCATTATCTATTTATTCACCGAAAGTCGCTCTAATCTCTTTTTCCTGAATTTTTCTAGATTGGGGTGATTTCTTTTTTTTGGAAGAACAAACACTGGTATTCGATGGAGTTTTTGAAATGGCTCCACATCCGATGTATTCTGTTGGATATTGTGGATATTACGGAATTTCTATGATGATGGCCAGCTACACGGTCTTATTTGTTAGTCTCGCTGCTCATGCTGCTCAATTTGCCTTTTTGGTTTTTGTCGAAAATCCACGTATGTTTGTCGTTTATTTGAAAGAGTTTAAGATTTCGTGTTCTGTATGTAAAAAATTTTTTGGATAAGGCTTATGATATATATCATATTTTATATGCTACTGAATTATTTGATGTCTTCAACCCATTTTTTTCTTATAGATATCGATAAAATCTACAACGACCCAAAGCCGCTAAGGGCCAAACTATCCCCATCGCCCAAAGCTCTACTTGCGTCATCTCCAAGTTCAGCTGACGCAGAGTCCCTGCATGAACACTCATCAACTTCAACGACACTTCAACCGGCTCTTGCGGACTTCTTTCATCCTCCAACTTCTTTCCAATACTTCCGCCGCGATCTCATTGTTTTCAAAAACTTTGACCTCCTTCGCGCAGCTGATCTCTTTGTAGTTATCATAATATTTTATGCCACCGCTGTTCCACTGCTGATTTCCGGAGCATCAGAAAATACCGTACAAATGTTTGTTGTTGGTCAATGTCTGGCTTGGAGAATATTTCATACCTACGTATTAGGGGCCATATTGGACTTGCAGAGCAAAGAGAAGTTTTGGACGAAACATTATATTAAGTTTGGAGGAAGTGTTAAGGAAGCGTTTGACAATTGGAAGAGGTAAGTTGGGAGATGGGGTAGTTGTCTTGTATAAAATACTTTTGATTTCATTCTTACTCATTTTCTGCATTTCCTCGTTTTCCCCTCTATATTTCACTATTTTTTATTATTTTCCTACAGTATCTACAATCTTTCCCTTAGCATGACCTACGTTACCTTCCTGATAGCATCATACAAACTCTATTCACTTCCTTCTGACTGGACTTACGGCACTGTCCTTCTCCGACACACGCTTGGTATACTGCTGATAGCACTCCACGTATGGACATCCATATCAGTTTTTGAGGAACTTGGAGATTTTGGCTGGTTTTACGGCGACTTCTTCCTGGATGAATATCCTTCTACACTCTGTTACACTGGAATTTACAGATTTTTGAACAATCCAGAAAAACTTATCGGACACGCAGCATTCTGGGGGATTACGTTGATTTCCAGCAGTTGGGTTGTATTCGGATTGGCTCTGTTTAGCCAGACATCAAACTTTTTATTCTTAAAATACGTCGAGTCACCTCACATGAAGAAATTATATGGTGACGAGATACGGAAAGAAGATGGTGTTTCGAAAACTATCAGAAGGGTGAATATACTCCCTGACAGTGTGCGAGAGAGAATTGGAGCACCAGAAATGCGGGCCGTCGGGAGAGTGGTGAATGAAATCAGGGGATCAGTGGTCAAAGAAGTTAGGGGAAGAGTGGTCGAAGCCGCAGAAGCTGTCGGGGAAATAGTCGAGGTTGCTGGAAGTTTATTACAGAAAGAACGAGATAAGCTAATTATGAAGTAAGAGTCGTTGAATAATCAGGCTTTAGTGTTTCAGATGCTCGGAACAATTTTATTTATGTTTCTTACTTCTCTCATCATCTCATCGCTGATTGTTTCTATTAACTTGAAGCTTTCTTACGTATTAACGACTAGTCATTTTCAATTGCATAGTAACAGACGAATCGACACATCACAATACTCTATTGCTCTCGTTCCACCTCGTTCCGCACCAGTATCCCAAACTCCAACGTCACCAATTCGCACGCCTCATTCCTCGGAACCGCCGTCCCTATCATCATCACCTTCTTCAACTACCTCAACATTATCCCAATCCTCATCACCATCATCTGTATCACCATCCTTCTCCCAGCGAATATCCTATAATCTCGGTACCCCTATCAATATTCGTTGGACTGCTCCAAATAATCATGGACGAAAAGATTGGATCGGATTGTATAAGATCGGTGCTAATAACAGCACAATTGTGACGACTGTCAGTAGCCGAGGAAGGTATCACTATGTTGATGATGATGAGAGAAATGAAAGGAATGTATCTGGAGAATTGACTTTCAAAAGCGAACAATTGTTCTGGGAAGTTGGGACATACGAATTCCGATACCACCACGATGACGAGCATCTTGTATTGGCTATATCAGCACCGTTTGAAATAACGACGCCCGTTCTTACTCCATCTAATTTATTCTGCCTTCCGATTATCGAGCAGACTCTCCTAAAACTTGTGCAAAAGTCACTGGATTCTGATCCCAAGTTGATTCCTAAAAGTACAAAGGATGATTACGAGGTTATGAAGGAGCAACATGCAAAGAGAATAGTGTATGGAATTAATATGATTTTCGGTATAGATTTTGCATGGCAAGTGGTGGTCGTTGATGCAAATGTAGCGAAACTGGCAAAGAGGGTGAGTATATATGGGGATTTCTAGAAACAGTTTTGGGCCATGATTTTTCTAACATATTGTCAATTTGAAACAATTGTTTCCTCTCTTTCCTTCCCACCAGATCTACGAAGCTATTCGTGTCCTAACGCTCGCTCCATCTACGAAATCAGAAAATCCCGTAGATTATGATAAGAGCTCAGGGGGAGAAAACATACAAGCGGTTTCATGTTAGATTGGGGAAAACCAACAATTTGGATGAAGAGGGGAAAGGAATGGAAAAGTGTGTGTGGTTGTTATTTAATTGACTTAAGGACTATATATTTAATATTGATTTTTTATCATCTGGGTTTCTGAAAGGGACATTAACTCAATTGATATATTGTTTATGCCTCTCGAGGCATATAAAAGACTCTTTATTTCACATTATATTTATATACAAGACTTTAAAAACTCCACATTTTGCCAAATGCTCTTATAGTTGGTATGACATTGCGAGCAGACCATCTACAAAAATCTAAATAAATATGGCACAACGCATGCTGTTCGAATTTGACGTTGTCGATTGCGCATTCGTTTAGCATCGATATAGCTTGTGTGTATTATTGATCTTTATGATTCATGCATGCAATTGTTCTCTGGCGTTTTTTCTAGTCTTTTTGGCCCTTTTTTCTTTTTTACCCATTCACCATATCACATCGTTCAATCACATTCCCCGTTTTGGCATACAAGGAGATTATTTATAGATATCAATTGTCCAAATATGTATTATGTGTCGATAGTTTCAAATATCGTCATGCCCAGCGGTTTGAGAGAAAATGGCAATGAATGTGAAAGTTGCTACTATTAATGGATACGAAATGTTGCCAAAACGGTTTGTTATTATAACAAAATGAAACATAAACCTCCTCTCCATTGTCATTCTGTTCTTATTTGTTAGATAAAACGTCTATACACTATTATTCATACACTATTATTCATACACCATTATTCATACACTATATGATCTATTATCATACAAATATTAACTGTTGGATTAACTTATTCCCACCGTCCATTCTTCCGAGTGACAGAATGGAAAAGACAAAAAAGAGGACAAAGGGTAAATTGACAAGATTGCCGATTATGTAGGACAAAATGAAATTTGGGGGGATTTAATATCGACAATGCATTTGACTAATGCATTATTAATAATCAAGTCGCAAAACTGGCCAACCAGCCAACCAGCCAGCCAGCCAATCCCATTAAACTGAAGCGATAAACTCATGATGTCCACGGTGGAATTTTACTGGTGATTCCTTTTTATCGATTAAGTAGACAGCAGGCAGCTAACAACACTTTAGTAAAGTGGCTGAATGCGTGAGAACGTGTGGTGCTTCCATACTTGATTTGGGAAAATTGGATTTCTTTTTTTCTTTCTTCCGAGTCATCCAAACTGATGATGTAATCTATTTACGTGTCGTGTGACTACTACAGCTTCCGTAATCGAAGCGCTATCACACATCAAACAGCTAAATAATTCGTCGATGGCACTCATTCTTTGTTCTAGTTTCGTTACACATTCGAGATGCGAGTGGCTTAGAGTTTATGTAAAGTACCGGTACTACCACTGTGTATTGCTTATGTGGAAGATAAGGTGATATCTAAACTGTGTGTTAAACCGTCGACAATGATACATCTCAGCAATGTGACACGCTCAGATTCAGGGGATGGCATTGTGCGTTGATCTCTGCTCAATTAGTGGTAACATGGTCAAAAATGGAAAAAAGGAAAAAACTCTAATTTGCGAATCCTTAAACATAATAATAACACCAATAGCATGATTTATTGAATCATGTGATATAATGCCAAACATTCTATCGCATTCCGTCTGTCTTCCGTAAATAGTTGTATTGCTATCGAATTTATTTTTCCCTTGCACAATCTATCAACAAGTTTTTCTAGTACCACTATCAAACAGGCGCACAAGCAATGGGGGGAGGGAGGGGGGATATGGGGAGAGAGATTAAAGGGATGTTGTGTTTGAAAGTTTCCGTATATGGCAAAAAGATAAAGCAAGATGGGTATAGCAATGCGAGGAAAATTGGTTGAATAACAAATATAAATTTTATACTTTAATTGTTGTTTATATTAAATCTTGTTAACATCGTATAACATTGGATGGAAACCACTTTAATCATGTGCGCCAATAATGAATATCAAAATTGGGGTTTATTCAATTCCGTGAATCAATACACACATCACGCTGATTATGACCAGCCAATTGACAAAATTTCATTTTCTGATGTCGTGCATTCTGCAAAAAGGGAAAATGAGAACTTATTAGGCTTTTGTGCAATTATTGGTATCGTTTTGTAGAGTAGCACAAATGCACACATTCGCACGCATTCTCGAATCGAGGGTGGGGGGAATTGACATGTACAGATACGCGTGTTGTTAATGGGTGGAGAAACAAATGGTCATAACATTTATGCAAGATCATACCGGCAACAAACGACAGACAAAGATCAGAATGTGAGCTATTGATCAAATATAGTAAATAGGTTATCTTAGCAAATTAATTGACGCCTTGGCAGCTTTACGTATCAATTACCAATCAAAGGAAACAGTTTGCAAACAAAGAATGTCAGTGCATACTATTTATTACACAACTTAATCCGAATATTTTCTAATGTATAGGTATTTTTGATTCCCTCATGTCTAATTCCCCAATCCCCACTACTTGACACAACAGATATGTTGTCGCATTGTTGCCGGTGTTGAACGTTAGGGTTTCTATTGATCTCATCAGCATGTGAGCTGTTTTCCTCATATAGTATACAGCTGTTTATAGTAATACGCGGTTGAACGATTCAAATGCCTGTGCTGATTAAACGAGAGTGTTGTCGAGAATAGGAAGACTGGAACGAATGGCATTAACTGGGATTGGTAGTAAACGGTCTACTGATAAGTCATACGAAGGTGTGTTATTGGTGGCAAAGGTAACAGAATCAAGTCCAGTTTGCTCTTCCGGTAACATGCATTCTCCAACACGATCAAACATGCTACACATTAGTGATATTGGATCGGACATAATGACCCAGATAGATGTTACACTGCGATTTGTAACATGTATGCTTCGCGTAATAGCCAATCATTATTCATTAATGTACGATAGAGACGAGTTGATGAAGACCGTCGATATAATGTAGAAGTTTTAAGAAAATAATAAATTGTTTAAAAAAAATAATAGACGGCAACGAAAAACCCTACTTACTATCAGTAATATATTCTATTCTCCTAATATCTGAGTCAGTGACTAATAGGCGCAACAATTTTGTTACACGAATGGTTTAACACAAAAACATCTAATATACCATGCTTATGTGACGATCGAATGGGGGGAGTGAATACGCTGTGTAACTCGTTCAGTTAAACAGTTTAGCTTGCTTGACACTATCTCTTTAAATGGGAATCTTTGAACAAATACGCTTCCTTCCGTTCCGTATACACTCATTTACTAACGATTTTTGTAGTGCCAAGACCCGGAGTTGAATTAAAATAGCATGGTTAACATATTAATATCACTAATGCATATAATTATAATTTAAGGAGAGTATATGCTGGGATACGTTACAAAGATTAACATATTAGTTAACATATTAGTATAAGATCATTTCAGATTATTTTAGATAATCAAATTTGACGGAGTTGAAATTCTACCACTCTGTTGGTGACCAATGAGAGCATAGAGACCAGTTAGAAGGTAGGAGTCAATTTCTCACGCAAGAAACTGGATTGACCAATACAAGTCGTGATGGACTGTTCATCCGTCCATCTACTACTTGTGCGTCTAGTCTAGAAGGTTATATTCCAAATCTGGAAGACACCATTTTGCGATCATCATGGTCGTAAATCGGGCCAAGCAGTTTATAGATAGTAGAAATACTGCAATCGTTTACATCTGATGTAATGCCGACAATTAATAAATATTGGATAGAATTTATGTTGTCAAGGGTATGCCGTTCTGTTATAATTATGATGTTATTATACTTCATCGTTTATTTATTAGAACTGCGCCCGTCATTGCTTTGGGTCAACTAGCTAATCCAAGTGGAGAACTACCACTATACAAATTTATTTTACATTGTGTTATCTTCACCAAATCTTCCGTATGCACGATGGCTTGCTAGTGACACCAACATTTGGTATATGCTATTAGAAATAGACGCTAGAATGCGTATACAAAAACAGGTTCTTGTGTATTATGCGGAGTTTACAATGTCCATAATGGAGTACCGGAAATTCATGTTCCACATCGTTCATTTACTGTCCGCCCGATATAGTTAACAACCTTGCCATATGTGACCTTATAACAAATAAATTATTTAGTCCTATATACCATTACTAATGATTTTTATGTATAGAGTACATTTACACTCACTCCTATATCCAGCTGGATGGATATTAGACTAACCTTTATCCTTCCCTTGTTGCTACAAGTTTCGTTTCGTCAAACAAAGACGAACCAATTATCAGCTATCGTAGTATTATCTTCTTTATCCTATATGAACAACGATTAACACGATTTTCTATAAAAAGGCCCCTGGGTTTCGACCTTCTTTCCATATCCAGAACATCATTTCTTTCATTTATAACAGCAACATCAGGTTCACCTTTCGTTTGAACCTCTGGTAGAGTTCCTTCCACTTCCAAACACGCCATACATTTGCATATCATTCAACATTCGCAATTTGCATTTTTCAAGAAATTATAACACTTTCATTTAGAAATCATAAAGCATACACTCTCATTACAAGGAAAATTAAAATGAAATACTTCTACACATTCATTGCATTCATTCTCTTCTCCGCTAGCCTCGTCGCTGGTAATGGACAAATGAACTTCCCTCATCCACGCCTTCCCAGTGGTGATTTTCAAACGGCTCTAGCACTCCTTGGCTCTCCCACTACGAATTATGGCTGTGGAAATGCCCCCACTCCTGGTCGAGTTTTGACGAAATATGTCCGCGGTCAGTCTGTTAAAGTCGTATGGGAAATCACTGAAGCCTTGGAGGGTCAATGTTTCATGGACCTTTCCACCACGGGAAAAGACACTGATTTTCAACAAATTGGAACTCTACCTAACTGTGCTGATCAAGTCGGGGATTCTTTCACGGCTAATGTAAAGCTGCCTGATGATGTGACATGTGATAATTGTATATTGAGATTCAGATGGATACCTGCCTTGTCTGGTGAAACTTACTTGAATTGCGCTGATGTCTCGATTAAGGATACCAAGCCGAAGTCTTTAAGAATGCAAAAGAAGCGCCAAAGAAAGCGTCAGTGTCTACTGTGTCATAAGGAATAATAGCATATAGTGGAATTTAAGTTTTCACAGCTTTTGATACGACGTTTCAGATAACATCATATGACTTCAATATCATTTAACATCGTTTGGTCAATAGACATCAGCATCACACACATCACTACACTTGTATACATTCATTTCAAATTTGCATCTACATCATCTACATTGTAAACATATTGCATTTACATAGAAACCATACTTTGCATTGGCATTTGTAATTTCCCACATTCATATTCATTAACCTGTTTGGATTTCTTTTTATTTTTCCGCGATTGTATATCCGGATGCCACAACTAAATACAATAAAGAAATTGTTGTATACTAACTCATATTGTCGTAGAACTTTAGGTTATAATGTCAATTGGATAAGAAAATGTAAATATTATCATGCTCGTTTGCCCCGTCTGCATGCTCTGAGAACTCGTCAAATCGCGAATTTTACCGTCAGTACTAATCGAGATGAGAAATTATAATTCAATCGTTATTGTTATGCCACTTAATGCTTGTATGGTCGACTCCCTCTAATATCCACCCGTTAATATCAACAATCTCCCTTAGCAATGTTGGGGTATATATAACGGACTTTTATATCATTATCACTATGTACAGTCAGACCTCTCTAAATGCAACCTCTCTAAATGCACACACTATATAAACTCTCCATAAATGCACGGTATGGTTCAGTCCCAGCTTATAAGAACATTATATATTTTGCTCTCTGTAAATGCACACACTCTCTAAATGCACACTTTTGGATTTTTTTCACTATGGCCCCGACAACGTGCATTTAGAGAGGTCTGACTGCTGATATCAAGATCAATATTTTGAATTCAAACGTCTAATTCTCATAACAGTGATGACAATGACATTGAAATCGAGAAATTCATTATAGAAGCGTTAAGTTATTGCAGATGTAGAACACAAAGACCCAGGGAAAGTCGTAGAAGAGGAGGACTTACCAAGATTGCAAAGTCTGTTCAATTGAATGTATATACGAGACGACAGGGAAGGGAGGCAAAATTTTTAAAAGGATTAATTTGAGATAAAATGCAAAAGAAATCGACTGTATTGTATATGAAAACTGCTACTTGCTTGAGAACAGGCAATGTAATATAAGATAGCGGCCATATTTATAGGAATATTTAGTTGTCATCGTCTGATAAGAGATTCGTTGTTAAAAGAGACAATGATTGTTATGTTAGTATTATTCTTTGTTACAAACTCTTCATTAACAATTTCTATTGACCGTCGTAATTACGCATTTTGTTTCATATTATCTTGCACTATCCGAATTTAGTTAATTACAGAGATTTAAATATAGGCAATCTTTGTATATCTTTGGTCAAATTGTTTGAAAAAAATGCTGGGATTTTGTTATGGTAAGCATTGTTTGTTCAACAAGACAATATAACTTCTCTAATCCGTTCATCTATGCTTGGGATTGTTTAGAGTTTCATTCATAATAATAATAGCAATATTGTATTGTATTTTCTAATTATATGCGTTGCAAAAAAGGGGGCGGGAACGCCCAATTGAGTGACAAGAAAATTGTGTCCCAAACTATAGCCGAATTTTTAATTATTCCTGATTAGCCTTATACAGTATTAAAGGGTCTATACCCTCTGTTGTGAGTCTAACACGACATGATACTTCAGTATTGTTCTGATCTAGATAATAGAACATTATTTTCTGAGTTCAGAAAAAAAAAACAACTTAAATATGGACGTCCCCCTCAATCGCCAATTAACTCCTGTTGGAACTGTCAAAACACTTTTCTTAATTATTGCATTCCTCACTTTAACCTTAGCACTTTACTTCTTTGTATACGTTCAGTTAGACCACACTACTACTTCGGAGTATCATATCAACAAGATGGACACTATTACATTACCTTTCGTGTCTTATGTGCGCCTTGGCTTTCAGTTCTTTGTTTTTGGAGCTTTGGCATTGGTAGGTAAAACTTGCAATTGACTGTTTGAAGTTAATTGGCATCAGTTTCAACACACTCACAACACAATATTTTCATGTCTTCTTTGTTATGCAGATGTTTGCCCACAATTTTGTCATCTCCGTCTTTTACTTCAAAGCTAGACAGAGTACTTTCTCAAATATCCTTAAAATAATTTTTAACTTTGCCGGTTGTCTTAGGCACTGCTTCGGTTTTTCATCCGGCATGCTTGGAACTTATGTGTCCCTGGCAGCTTGCAAAGGGGTGCTTTATCCTGCGACTCTTGCGGAATTCACATTTTTATCGTCTTTGGCTCTCTTCATATTATGGAGATTACGACAAATCGAAAACAAATCTTATGATTTAGCCATTGGCGGGTTTCTGTTCTTCGCAAGGGTAGCTGTGCAAGTAAGCATACTTTGAAATGTATTCGAGTTAACGTAGAAAATTGGTGCCATTCTGACACATTTTTCATGTTCACTTTAGCTCACTCAAGTTGTGTTGTCTGTACCAGTGGTGAAACAATCCCCTTCGGCACCTGAGATACAACTCTGCTTCTTGAATATTGAAGCGAAGGTGGAAAGGGCGCTGTTTTACACTTATCAAGCCATTGATGTTGTAATCGACATTTATGTTACATTGCGACTTATTTATATCCTCAACAAAGCCAATAACAATGCCAAGCATGTAACACCCAATATGCGACGTCCGTACAAACGGAGTTTGTTCACAGCTGTCATGTACTGGAATTTCTTGCGTCTGTTCGCTGCCTTCTTACACTACGCTGTAAACCTTTCCGGAGTCATCACAGATCAAGAGAATCCCTTCAACTTCTGGACTTATCAATTCTTCGCCTTAGCGTTATTAAGCTACACTATTACGGCTGATGCAGAAGTTGTAAGAACCATTGAAGGAAGACCCGTAAATTCGAACAAAGGATCCGGCTATAGCAGCTCAAGTGGTACGGCCAAGGCATCAAAAACATATCATTCCGGCTCACAGTCTCCACGCGCGCCGTCTTATAAGGGTCAAGTCATATCATTTAAAGATGATGATGATTATCTGCAATCACAACCTGCACAATTAAATTCATCTAGACAGCAAGCTGTTTACGAGGATGTGAGTGGCCAAAAAGTGGGAGTATCAATGAAGCGTGCGTCCTTCTTTGAATGGGCTTCGGCCGTAATTGGTGTCCGCCGTAACGATCCAGACGAAGACGAACAATATGATAATACTAGGAATGATCGTGATGTCGAAAAGGCTGAAACCAACGACGCTGTTGAAGTGATTTTGGACGAGAGGCCGACATCAGAAGAGCGAATCGCTGAAGAAATCGAAACAAACGCAGAGAATTTTGATCCTGAACGTCGTCTTTCTGGCGATCAAAGGCGTAGCAGTACATTCAGCGGTGATACTGTCACTAACGGGACTACTGAGAATAATCCCGTCGTTCATGCGCTTTGATTTTTATTTTTTTAATTGTTTGTTTATAGTGTTAAGAGGAAATATAGTTTGGAATTAATTCAGGAAGTTAGATTTCGATACATGTAAATCACAAAACTATTTGTATATTATATATTATCAAGTTGTTTTACATTCGCGTATCTTTAATTTTTTTTTACGGACTGTCTCAACTTTAATAATGTAAGTAATCTGTTTCTCGAAATAATAAAACAAAAAAGAGTCGAGTATAAGTAATTATTCCAGTTATTGTCAACATTCGTTCGAAAGAGTTAATATCCTCCGTGGGTATAACCGAAAGTTCTAGTATGAGCTACATATGATTTAACTTTATTTGAAAGCCTGAAAGATGCCAATTATTGATTTATTATTTAGTAGGGGATGCAATCACCATTATTAGTTTACATCGATACTTCGTCGAATCTATTAAATTAAATAGGACAGAATTTGGACTATTGTCTCGCTCTTCAGTCATAAACTTTGGTTTACGCGTTTTCACATTTGTAGGATTAAGATCAGGAGGACCAGTCCAAAAAAATTCCTGTATGATTAGGATCATTATCCTGTTGGAATGCCTCCCAACAGTCCTCTTATTTCTGGAAGACGTTGTTCTAATATTCCAACAGCATCCATAATATGGCTGAAGCAAAGGAGACTGGTCTTCCCTTCGCACAAAAACTACCATGCCATAATTTTACGAGCATTGGACGTTTTGTCAGTGCAAACTATCCGTTTTCAATTATAATTTAAATGTTTTTCACCCGATTTCTTAAGAGCCTTCGTAGTGGTAAGAGGAAGGCTTTTTTTATAGCCATGTTCATATTCAGTCCTACAGTTATGCAAGAGACGACCTCCTTCAATATACCGAGCATTAATATCGGTTATGTTACAGGGGTACCAAAAAGTTTGTGAATCTTTGTGTGAATCAATAGTAAAAAACATTATGGAAACAAACACTTTTCGAAAAATTTTGTTGTATTTACAATATAAGTAGCGTGCTTTTTTTATATTGATTTGAAGCAAATTGATTGTACAAAGAGAGATAGATAAAAATGCAGTTTAATGAAATGGGGGGGTTGATAAACGCATATTAACTTATATACAGTCAACCCTCCATAAAAGAACCCCCCATAAAGGAACAACCTCTCATGGAGAACATTTTTTCATGGGACGGATGTGATTGATAGTAAATTTCCCTTTATAAAAGAACAATCCAAAGAACATAATTTTGTAGAACGCTTATAATTCCGTATAAGAACACTGCATGTTGATTGGCTGGAAAATTATTATTTATTATTATGTAAGAAAATTAGTAAAGGTACAAACAGAGAATCCAGACTTTGCTGTTGTCATAGTTACGTAGTTTCTGTTACATTACTTGTAATTTCTCGCAGGCCCGACCAACTTAATACTCTCTATTCAAATGTCAAAACGTCTACAAAAAAACCAAAAACGAGCTATAGTCAATGATTCCCTCCGTAAAGAAATCTGTCAATATGCTAAAAGTCATCATGGCAATAAATATCAAGAACTTATATTTCCCGCCCACTGTCTTAAAGATAATAAAAGAGTGCAAAATGGTTGAATATCGAGATTAACGAAGCATCTGTCCAACATAAAGCTGTAAAATTTCCGTTATTAGAACAAGCTTTAAGTTACTGGGTAGAGCAAGTAACTGCAGCCGCTATTGAGTTCAATGAACAGTTACTTCAGGAGAAAGGAAAAGAATTTGCCTATCGCTATAGTAATAGCATGCCGAAAATTACTTCGAAAATCATCACGTGTTTATTTGAAAATGTCACGTGAAAATTATAATCACTGTAATCACAATAATCTCGTTTCACCCACTAAAATTTTAGGTGTTCCAGCATTTTGAAAACCGCAATAATGACTTGCATGCTGGACATAATGACTTATCAATAATTCCATAATAATCAAAATTTTTACTACTAAATTCTCTATACTAAATTCTCTATATACAGTCCTTAAATTTTCCAGAAAACAAAAGTAAAATTTCAGATGTCTCCAGCAAATTTTCCAAACATCGGATATTTTGCATCGGACTATACTATACCATACCCTCTATGCGATGTCGACCATAAAATTTCAAAAATTTGTGTTCTTTCTTTCTTTGAACTAGCTGTAATTGTGTTTAGTATCTGTGAGAAAATTATAGCATGATCGCTACTATGAAATGCAAATAAGCGTGCAACATGATGACTCAGAGAGATACAATGCGCAGCTTTTTCCTTATATAGTAACAACGGCCTCATAATTTGACCAACCATGTAGAGACGGAGTAGATAAACAAACGGAAAAAAAGATTATGAAAATCGATTAGAAACATGTGGAGATATGGATTTTTGAAGTTCATGCTCAAAACAAGCGAATGCGATTTTGATATGTTTTCATAAGTTTTCATATGTTTTCGAAACAAAATATCCAATGTTTGGAAATTTTGCTTGAGATATCCGATTGAGCTGAAATTTTAAGGTGCTATTAGGGGGGTCCGTATTATTTCATCGACAATCATTTCACCGACAGTACATTTCACCGACAATTAACTATCAAAAACGGTTAAATTCGAAATAATGCTGGTAAATATTTGTCGGTGAAATGATTGTCGGTGAAATGATTGCCTCCACTATTAGGCGACACAGGGGGTCGAATACTTTTGCACATTACTGTATATCAGGATATCGACCTGACCTAATATTTTATTACGAAAATAATCACGATCATGGGCTGGATTATTCTGTTTTTCAGGTATGGTATTATTTGGCTGATATATGGATGATTCATTTACCTTGACTTTCGGTGAAAGCGTCAATTGTTCAAAAACGGCGTCTGCTGCACACACTAACTGTTCCGAAATAGTGTGCGCGAACTTTACAAAAACTTGCATTTTTTAAAAATGTCTCGATGAGATTCGTTGTGCTGATAACCACGTGACATTTACAATCAGAAAATATTGCAACATCTCGTCGTGATGTCACCAACAAATTGCTAAATTTCTATTAGTATCCTGGCGATCTTGTCACGAGATTCTGCTAGATTGTTCAACTTCGTAAAATTTCCATGCATCCCCAAAATCTCGTGGGCACATCTTCACGATACACTAAAATTAGAATCCTCATGGCGATCTTATTACATGATGCCTGTTAGACAGTGGTGATCTTATTCAGATATCACAGAGAGATTTATAAAAACTACAGGTTTCTGTAAAGAACTTTTCGAAACGAGTCACCAATAAAACCATCGCATGCTGAATTTGTTATTTAACGCCAAGTTTGAAAAATCTTAGCTTCCAATTATCTCATCATTCACAGCAATTATACTGTGACATTTGTGTTATCTTGTAAGCAACGATTGTTCAAGAACGGTTTCCATACGCCTATTCTTCGTCAAATCATAAGCGCACGATACACAATTCGAATCAAGCCCACTCCTTCACTTCTCAATTAATAAATAGTTTTGCCCAAAAATAACCAACAAATTGTTCGCACTAATAGTAAATTTGTTAGTTTATCAAGAAAGACACCAATAAAAAGAAGTAAAAGTATGAAATAAAAATCAATTATGGTTTATTATTAACTCAAATACTACCTCAAAGTTATAAATAAAAGGCAACTGCGATTATTCCCATCTAGCTTCTTTGTTATCTATTATCCAACAACCCCCATTATTACTGATTACTGATTACTACCATTGAACAAAATGATTGCAACCCTCACGGCTAGTATGTACATAGTTTCTATTGCGGACGAGACTTATAATAACAAAACCGTTCAAAAAGGCTCCGCCATATCAAGAATCAATGCAGAAGACGCATATCAGCTTTACAAATTTACTGCCTACACGTCCGAAAACAATCTAATAGAGGGAGATAATACTGCAATACATCATCTGAAATCACACAGCAACTCAAGAGAACGGAGTGTACCAAATTTACGCCACTTAAAGATAATTCTTTTAACGTTATAATAACGGACTACACATGGACGAAGATTATATTCTCATTTCGAAACCTGTCGCACACTTAATCGGCAACACTACGAATAATGCTGATCTCAAACAAACGGGTTACACACTACCGATACAAGTAAAACCTATTTGACAAAAGATAAATTCCAACCGTATACAATAATGTTAACCCACCCACTTAATGGCCGCTTAAAGAACGGCATTGTAAAAGCAAAAAAAAATTCATTGGTTTATGTGACTGAAATTTTTTTTTTTTTTTGGAAAAGCAATTATATTGCGAGTTGTTAGAATTTCAATTTATCTCTACCAAAGTCGAAAGTGACGCCACTATCAATATTCCGTGGGAAAAAAACAACACTCTTATTGGCCAAACTAGCGGAAAATCAGACATAGAACAAAGAATTGCACAAATTCGCCCAAGAACAACCTCTACAAGCACCATCTCCTTGCAACACACTGAGCAGTGCGTCGAAACAAAAAAGCACAAAATTAGTGATATTTGCAAAACATTTCTCGCTAATCGATCTTTAGAAAATGATAGCATTACCGAAATAGACACTCACATTAACACAATGATGATGATATTGTCATTGAACAATCAAATAATACAAGAAAAAGACGTACAACTAGAAACAGCACGAATAAGAAACAGAAACAAAATATGTAAAAGTTTATTACCATTTTACTGGTATTAGATATTACATTATTGTTAAAACGCATATTTTATATCTGTGAGTTAAATCATTCTTAACTAGGCTAGTTCAATTGTGCCCGGTCGACTGCGTCGACCGGGCATAGCAAAGTGTCAGGTAGTATTATGTAGCAATTTTATTTTAATCAAGTATGAATAAGAAATAAAGTTTTATTTTGTGAATGTTAATATTTCATAATAGTCGGTTAGTTAAGCTGTAGTTTGTGTGACATATTTAAAGGGTTGTTCAGCTAATAGTTGTAGTCGTTGGTATTCTTCTATAACGTTTTTATCTGTTATGAATGCATCTCTATGTAAGGCGAGTATG